ATATAGTGAATTCGTGAAGTTGAAATCGTGAATTCATGAATTTGAGATCGTGAATTCGTGAAGTTTAAATCGGGAATTCATGAACCTGAAATCCTGAATTCATGAAGCTGAAATCATGTATTCGTGAATCCGTATGTTAAACACGTGAATTCATAAAGTTGAATCGTGCATTTGCGATATTGAAATCGTGAATTCGTGAAGTTAAAGCTGCGGTCTCACTTACTTCCGGCAGAGTCCAGGACAAACCCGGTAAGTAAGTGGGATGATCTGGGACGACCCGGATGAAATAATTGTTGCGGTCTCACTTATCCCGGCAGCACTACGGTAATTCACAACTAACCACCCAGAATGCGCTCCGGACCATCCAGGCAGAGCCGCGATGAATGTAGGGTTCATGCCGGTGCTTCCCCGGCCCAGGTTGACCCAGGCAGAACCCCGGTCGATTCAGGCAGAGCCCAGGACGATCCAGGCAGAGCCCCGGTAGAATCTTGGTGGATTGAAAACGCGCGAAAATGACTACATTGATACATAATTTTTATTTAATATAATATCTATAGTTCAAGAACAGGAATTCATGATGATTTTCTGTACGCAAGACTGGATAGAAGGGAAATGGGAAGGGTTAAGTGCACCATCGCAAATTGTAGTGATTCTTTTGAAATGAACTCGGCTTTACCGAGACTCTACCGGGATCGGCCGTAGCTCCATCGTCATCCTCCGGGGCTCTGCCGGCATTCACCGGGCTCTGCCAGCATTCACCGGGGCTCTTCGTAGCTCTTCCGGCTATATCATACCCCGGAATATCCCCGGTTTGTGCCGGCAGAACTACGGTGCTTCCCCGGTGTGTAACCCCGGTCGTTCCCGGCAGAGCGAAGGATGAAGCCGGCAAAGCTATACTTCCCGGATCATCCCAGACGATCCCGGTGATATAAAATATTATATTCCATCCGGGGTCGAATGCCGGATGTTCCCGGATCATCCCGGACATTGCCGGTAGAGTTACGGATGTACTCCGGTTGTTCCCGGTCGTTCCCGGACTACCCCGGACGTCTACCGGGGCTCTGCCGGGATGTAAGAGACTGTAGTTAAAATTGTGAATTCATTAAGTTGAAAAAGTTGAAATCGGGAATTCATGAAGCTGAAATCTTGAATTCATGAAGCTGATATCGTGTTTTCGTGAATTCGTATGTTAAACACGTGAATTCTCGAAGTTAAAATTGTGCATTCATGACGATGAAATCGGGAATTCATGAAGTTGAAATGGCTCTACCGGTAGGTCTTTTGTAGTTTCTAGGATGTTTCTAAAGTTCAAAGGAAAGGTAAATTACACGAGTTGTGGTATATGCAGCGGCTAAACTAAACAGTTAATGTTTTGTAATGTCATGGGCAGGCTCTCTGGGGCATTTCATTCGACGGTCGCTGTAAAATTTGGCGTTTTAAAATAAGTGGGGAGGATTGTAGTGATTATGGGTATAGGCCATTTCCAACAACCTTGTAGTTGGGTTAACACTTTAGCGATGTGGATGAATGTCTGCCTTGAAATCGACAGGACCGGGGCTCAAATTTCGGTCAATGTGAAACATTACCTGAAATCCTAGCAGCAGACACAGGTACCAAGGCGGCGTATCTTCAACGTCATACAGCATGTGCTTGACGTCATCAACTTTGACGTCATCAGCATTTTTATTCCCTGTCCTATCCATTCTGGCAAAAACGTAGGGAAAAAACAAATAATTAATTTTTGTCAGTGCAGTAAGTTATAATTAACAAAATATTGGGGAAACTATACCAAAAAGCAACAATTTGCATGATTGATCCTCATTTACAGACAAGTGGCACATTTATATTTTCGTTCAGTATTTTATCAAATTTTAAAACATTTTAATGATCCATCACCCAAAAATTGGTAATAAGATGTACGCATATGAATTTACAAAGTAATAAAACTAAATATTTATATAAAATCCGGTATTAATCTGAAAATGTTTACGTTTTGGGAATGTTTTTATATACTCTTTATTTCCACTTTTCAGTGATTATAACATATATTACAAATTTATACATATACAAAATATAACAATATTATTATTCAATTACATGACAAGATGCATGTTTTACATAAGTACAAAAATGCATTATATACAAAATTTTATGAGATTTTACATGTAATATAATAACGTCAGATGTGAATTTAATACACTTTAATCTAAATATTGAAATTTAGAAAAGATCCTAAGAATGATAATGCAAAACAGACTGACATAGCATATTGTATTCAATAAAAGCTGGTCTCAGTTTTTTCTGTCGTTTATCTGTCGAAGTAAATTTTGGTTGCTTCATTCACAGTTATAATTATACTTGTATTATTTTTTTTCTGTTTTTTTTTTACCATTTAAACGCTTTCGATCCTATCGACAAAGACTCGAGAATACAATATGCAATTGATTTTAATGTTTTTAAATTAATTTTGTAAAACACATAATTAGTTTGTCATTTAAAGATTAAACTGAGTTAAAATTTTATATACATTGTTGTATATAAGTCATGAAGGTTATTGAAGGTGTAAGAAAATCATGATACAACGATTTAATTCGTCCCTTTTTATTTATTTATTTAATTATTTATTTTATTTCATTTTTCATTTCATTTCATTTTTATTGTTATCATCATCATCATCATCATCATCATCATCATCATCATCATCATCATCATCATCATCATCATCATCATCATTATCATTATTATTATTATTTTTATTATTATAATTATTATTATTATTATTATTTTGACGGAATAAATGTAAATTTAAACAATATTATGGACCGTTCCGGTTTTGAGCAGTGAAACTGTGCAATTTGAGCCATATTAAAAAGTTAAAGATTTTTTAAAAATAAAATGAATTTCTGAGGCATAACGTGCATTTTAACCAAACTGAAAAATTTAAGTTATTAAAAAGGAAAAACGCATCTGAATCCTTGATATAGGATACGTACAAATTGTGGATTATCGTTAAATATTAAGTATATAAAGCACAGCTTTCTTCAATAAATGAAATATATATGCTATAATGTCGCAATGTCGATGAAGTTTGTCCTTATAAAGAAAAAAAATATTATACGAGATTAGGAGATTAAAGTCCAAATGCCTGATCATTTAATTTGAAATTTACTGGTGAAAATTTAGTATAAAAAAGTGTCTTTCTTAACAACAGCTGAATCAGTAATCTGTCTTCAACAAAAAAAAAAAAAAAAAAAATACGGAAAAGGATGTTTCGAAAGACACGAAAAAATATAACTATTATAGAGTTTTAAAAATATACGGCCGATTTTTTACAGCCGCCATCCATCTGAACTTCAGCTTCAATCTGTTTTACAAAGTCGCATAAAGTTTTAAAAATGTTTAACAGTAAAATTCTGTAATATTCATGGTGCTAAATAAAAAAATAAAATATATACCAAAACATGGATGTTTCATTTTCAGCAATGAAAAATGCAGAAAACTAAAAATAAGGTAAATATGTAGATGAATTTTAAAACTTACCAGTAAAGTTAAATCGAAGTCGATTGTAATGTTTTGCACAATGATTATGTTATACTCTGATCAGCTGATGAATTTTATTTTAACCAGATTGATAAATTACTTTCTAATACGTGACTTGTACAGGAAAAACATGTATTTGTTTTCTTCCCCTTGCTGAAGAATTTAGTCTGACAACAAATTTAATTGCACAACATAGCGATGACATGAAATCATTCAAATGAAAAATATCGTCTGCTTGTTGATTAGCCATGAGCAACGCGATAATCTAAAAAAAATATACAAAATATTATGCACGATGCATTTCCATGCGTGTTGCAGTCTACGTACTTGTTCGTAGTAAGATACCTTTAAAGGTGTCTATCCTTAAATAAATTTAAAAAAGTCAAGGAAAATCATTAGATGCTTACGTAATAAATCTATATTAAAATTGTAATTTTCCACTTAAAGCGACAGCTTTGAAATACAACTACAGTTTTTTTCCATTAATTAATAAATGCTGGATATAGTAAAGTTTGAATTAACACGGAATATTTGACAAATTACTATAAGAAATACATAGACTTGATTATCATTTGATAGATTATTTATAACAAATTACCAATATATACATTTTGTATTATAAATAAGGTAATTGCAGTACAAAATTAGTTTAAGATTAAACATATTTATTTAGGCTCGACTGCGAAACAAGTTCTTGCAACTTATAATATTCGAGTCTAGCCAGTACTGGTGTCATATAAAGAAACATGGTCGTGACTCGAGTAGGACTCTTATTCACGATCCCTGCACCTTAACCCCTGTGACACCGCTGCCCTTAAACTAGCCATGGACGGAAATTCAAGGTTTTAATAGTAATGCATTGTAATAAAATAATTGTAAATCAGTAAGAGCATTTTCTTCAGTAACAGTTTGAGCACTTACAGGATCAGCTAGCTGGCAAACAATCAAATACATAGGACTAAATATACTCATGTCAAATATTAAAGTGTTACAAACATTGTTAAATAGGGAAAACATCAGACATCAAATAATGTGAAAATGATACTTTCAAATTTACAAATTCGTGAGTCCTTTCTAGCAGTTTTAAAGCCAATTATTGAAGACCTTAATAATTCTGTTCTGTTCTGTTATGTTGTAAATCAGTAAGAACATATTAAGTAAAAACCTCTTGATTACAGAGATGCGGAAACAAGCGGCTATAATCATTACATAACGTTCACGTGTTATGAAAATCACATTAAAAGATCGAAGGAGCCATTAAGGTTTAATTACCTGTAGTTAACATATAAACATCAAGATAAACATTAACAGACATATCTGTAAATTTGTTTAGCGTGCAGTTATGCCCTCGCTTAACATGATGATCTTGTATAGCCATTTTGCAGTGAAACATAAAATATATAGTTACTGAATTGTTTTGTTTTAAAATTTTATTGGGCAACATAAGTTAGAAACATAACTATTTGTAATGTTTTAATTCATTATACAAATATCAAAAGTGTAAAGAATTTCTTAGTAAAACAATTAAATAAAAGATATCACAGAAATGCAGTGTCATAAAAATTGTATATTAAAGACTATTTTCAATGTTACAAGTGCAAATTTTCCTAATGCTGCCAGTACTGTTGCAGTACACAATTTTCTAAATGTTTATATTAAAGCCTGACACTCATAACTTTCTTAAATAAATATCCTATTTTTACAATCATATCATTTCTCTATTTGCACTGTTCTCCCTTCGTCAAACGTCAACCACTCATAACAAATGTAATGATCACGTCATCTGTATAATTACGTCATTTTATTTCTATAGTCTGCTGTTTTCAATATTTGCTGAACAACAACGCGCGATTTCTGCACCTTGTCAAATTCCGGAATAGCGTCGACCATCTGATATCGAATATGTTTGTGGTCCTTTACAACAAATTCCGAGTCAGAAAATTTACAGTGCTGCTTTTTGACCCAGACTTTTCCTCCTGGCTTTGGACGCATGCTGTTCTCAGTATCTTGCTGAAAAAAATTAAAAACAAATGGCTATAGAATCTAGATCTACACCTGATAGTAATAGCGTCCCTATTATGTTTATTTTTAGAAAATTCGTTTTAAAGGAACTCCACTGAGATTTGAAAGCCTAAAAACATAAAATTTGAATTTCTTACATAAAACAGCTTTGGCAATCAAAGAGAAAGATATCATAAAGATATTTAGAAATATAGATCTACTTAGAAATTTATTAAAATTGTATTTTTATGCTTCCCCTTTCCAATTTTTGGGTTATTTTTCACAAGCAGAATAATTAATTTGGAACAACGGAGGGAGAGAATGATCTGAAATTGTGCGCACAAGTTATTGCTGTAGGCCTCCATCTAATGGAACATAAATCTCAAAAAATGAATTCAAGTTTATCCTCAGTACCATTTATTGTCATCAAAGGCAAAATATCCTGTCATGTTGCGATATTTAAAGATATGAAAATAAAATCTAAGCCGGTGCTAGGGGGCGTGGACGGTAACTTGCACTTTCCAGTACCGTCCATGAACAGGCTCAATCAAACCGAGCCTGCAACATTTTCAGTTTTGTCGTGTTGGGCTTTCTTTAGGGATTCTGTAATTCTCTATTTTATTACTTCAGGTTAAGGATTGACAAAAACAGTATAAAAACATATGTTAAAACAGTTAGTCTGTTCGCCATTAATTCAATATACTTCCTCGTGGCTTTTAAATTTCAGTAAAATTGTGCTTAATACATGTAATGTACATAAAGATAATAAACCAAAAGAAACTAGAATCTGTCAAGAATCTTACATCAAGTTTGTATCTTTTCAAAGGTGGTAGACATTTTGTTTGGTCCCCTTTTCCATATTTGATATGAAAAGCGTGAATTTTATGCTCAAGTAGTCGCAGAGAAGGTTCACTTGTTTCAAAATCTTTATAGGACGTTTCTTCTTCCATTATAGCCTGTAGAGTAAGACAAGCAACAATTAAATGTAATAAGAAATACTTAAACAATGAGACAATATAAGAATAATTCAACACATAAACACATTGATGGCTCACTTGCTCGTTATTTAGTCCTTCAGGAAATCCTTTGCATGAATGATACAATAGTACTAGTATTTAACAGAAAATGACAGGGCGTATTTATAATACCAATACAAAGCACCAAGCTTGACTTTGTGAAATGTTATATCGGATAATTTATCTCACACTTGCCAACAACATCCATATACAAATCTCTCATGGTTTGTTGTTATGTCTGATACTATATACTATCAGCTTAATTATCTTTTATATAACATACCTTCCATTATAAATGTTCATATCAAATGACATAATATGATTGGCTTACGTTCAAGTAAAAGTAAATATATAACAGTTTTATCCAAGTTGCTTTATACTTACATTTGTGAGCCGTTCTTGAACCCTTTGGTTCACAAACGTGATCGCAGTCTGCCACCTTGAAGACACTGTGCTTGTAGAATCTTCGTCAGTCCGCTGACTTTCCAAACCTTGAGTCAGATTAGTAAGACTTCCTCCAAGGTTAGGAAGTTTTGGCACTTTATTGTCAATTTGTGTATTAATATCAGTGTGTATTTCGTGCTGATTTTGATTAATCGGCGGTAAGAAACCATTTGTATCATTATCACCTTGTGTATTGCCTGAACCATTTGCTTTAACATCAGGCGTTTCTCTTTTTAAACTTTGCTTGCTAGCATTACCATTCTCTCTAGGGGTTTCCCTAGATGTTACATTTTGATGACTGTCCTGTGCAGTGTTTTTATGCAGTATTATTTCATCTTGAGTATTTTCTTCACGAATTGCTGGCAACTTTAGTTCGGATTGTTTTGCCATTTCTGTCACAAACACCGGCGGTGTTGCCTTTGGCAAGTTTGGATTTGAAGCTAAACTATTGGTAACTTTTGATTCTTCTCCATTCTGTTGAGCTCCATTGGTTTCCTCCTTTTTCTGAGCAACTGCTTTCATAAGTGAGATCAAACCAGGTTTTTTATCATTGTCTTGTTTAGGTTTATCGTTCATCATTCCTACAAGAGTCTTTGGAGAATCTTTAGGGAGTGACCTATCACTTATCTGAGCATTACGATTTGATTTAGGCGTCAGCTTTGGTTTCTTCTTTTTAAACTTTTTCGTCTCCATTTCTGTTTTAAAAAAAAGTACAAATATTTTACAAATAGAGAAAATAAGAATCCCTAAAGAAAGCCCAACACGTCAACATTGAAAATGTTGCAGGCTCGGTTTAACCGAGCCTGTTCTTGAAAAGTAATGTTTGTGTTTTGATTTCCTGGTTATGTAGGGATATTTATGAATATTCTGAGTTGTATAAGTCATACATGTAAATTACATCTACATGAGTACACGTTATAGTTGAAATTCAATTTCATGACATATATGTAGCGTTTAAAATATTTTTTTAGATAAAATTCAAAGTTATTATCGTTAAATTTCAAATTATATATAAGCATATAAGTAGCATGTACAGTTTTAACTTGGATAAAATTCAAATTTATTTTACCAATCACTTCAGCCTCCATCATTTGTTTGAGTGATTCTCGGATCTGAAGCATGCTTCTAGGTTTCCGTGGTTGTTTTCGTTTACTAGTGTATACAGATCCTATCTTTATAGCATCTCCCGTCGTCGTCTTTTTAGCTTCTCCCGCCTTTCGTTGGAGTTCTCGTGCCTTTGCCTTCTCTTGCATTAACTCATGATAATATACAACCCCTGAAACAAAGATATCACATTAAAATTAAGATATTTTATTTGTTTTTTTTAAGATGTTATATCTTCATGTGTGACCTTTTTTAAAATAAAGAAATTGTCGTCGTCGTCTTCTTCATCATCATCATCATCATCATCATCATCATCATCATCATCATCATCATCATCATTATTATTATTATTATTATTATTATGATTTTTATTATTATTATTATTATTATTATTGTTATTATTATTATTATTATTATTATTATTATTATTATTATTATTATCATCATCATCATTACTATCATAACTATTAATACTATCATTATTATTATTATTGTCATCATTATTATAATCGTCAGCAGCAAAATCATTTTCATCTTAGAAAAAACAAAACACTTTCACAAAACAAAACACAAAATCAGCTTTTAAGGCATTAAAACTCCTGCTCATACCAAATGATTACTATATCTAAATTTATCTTCTTCCATAATATAAATAAACACATTTAATAAACAAATATGTTTTATTACCAGGTATGCACGGTTTTATAAGCATCACTTCTTTGCCGTCCTTGAAATATTGTAATAAATGTTGCATTTCCTCATCTACATCAGGTATAGTCTTTGATGTCTTGAAAGGTTCCGGCTGGAAATAAAACGATAGTATTAATTTTGAAAGTTCTTTACTGTTACACAAAAAAAACGTAACACTGAAATTACTGGAGAACCAGAGAAATATTCAAGACAGGATAGGAGGATGGCAGGAAGAGAGTGTAAAAATATTTTTTTAAAGGTAAAATGGTTCTTTGAGCTGAGGATATAAATGGAGGATATAAATGGAGCTAAGGATATAAATAGAGCTGAGGATATAAGAATAGAGCTGATGATATAAATCGAGCTGATATAAATGGAGCTGAGGATATAAATGGAGCTGAGCTGATATAAATGGAGCTGATATAAATGGAGTTTAGGATATAAATGGGGCTGAGGATATAAATGGAGCTGAGCTGATATAAATGGAGCTGATATAAATGGAGTTTAGGATATAAATGGGGCTGAGGATATAAATGGGAGGGAGGATATAAATGGGAGTGAGAATATAAATGGAGCTGAGGATATAAATGGAGCTGAGCTGATATAAATGGAGCTGATATAAATGGAGTTTAGGATATAAATGGGGCTGAGGATATAAATGGGAGGGAGGATATAAATGGGAGTGAGAATATAAATGGAGCTGTGGATATAAATGGAGCTGAGGATATAAATGAAGCTGAGGATATGAATGGAACTGGGGATATAAATACAGTTGAGGATATAAATGGAGCTAAGTATATAAATAGAGCTGAGGATATAAGAATAGAGCTGATGATATAAATTGAGCTGATATAAATGGAGCTGAGGATATAAATGGAGCTGAGCTGATATAAATGGAGCTGATATAAATGGAGTTTAGGATATAAATGGGGCTGAGGATATAAATGGGAGGGAGGATATAAATGGGAGTGAGAATATAAATGGAGCTGAGGATATAAATGGAGCTGAGGATATAAATGAAGCTGAGGATATGGATGGAACTGGGGATATAAATACAGTTGAGGATATAAATGGAGCTAAGGATATAAATGAGGCTGATGATATAAATGGAGCTGAGGATATAAATAGGAGTGAGGATACACATGGAGCTGAGAATATAAATGGAGCTGAGGATATAAATGAAGCTGATATAAATGGAGCCGATATAAATGGAGCTTATGATATAAATGGAGCTGTAGATATAAATGGGACTGATGATATAAATGGGGCTGATGATATAAATGGAGTTGAGGATATAAATGGGAGTGAGGATACACATGGAGCTGAGAATATAAATGGAGCTGAGGATATAAATGGACCTGATATAAATGGAGCCGATGTAAATGGAGCTGGGGATATAAATGGGAGTGAGGATATAAATGGAGCTGATGATATAAATGAAGCTGAGGATATAAATAGAGCTGGGGATATAAATATAACTTAGGATATAAATGGGACTGATGATATAAATGGGGCTGATGATATAAATAGAGCTGAGGATATAAATGGAGGATATAAATGAAGTTGATTATATAAATAGAGGATATAGAGAGAACGGAAGATATAAATGAAGGATATTAATGGAGCTGAGGATATAAATGAAGCTGATTTAAATGGAGATGAGATATAAATGGAGTTTTAGTGAGAGTATCTGTTAAAAGAACAATTGTTTGATGCTATGTAAATATTTGTATAAAAGACGAATTTTTCGGAAAGCAGATTTATGATGAAAAAAGCTCATTCTGAGAGTTCTTCCGCTGGCATTGTCTTTATTAGGAGTACCATTTGCTTGCGATCTCTGTTATACATTAAAATATTTTATTCTGTTTTATTTCACTGCGTGTTACCTGCATTACAAACATTTACAATTAATAAATTGAAATGTACCACTTATTTTTTATTAGTGCCTTTAATTCGCCTCAATCCTCCTCAGGCTTGGTTAATTCGCATAAAATTGTACACTTTGCTACTACATTTACGGTTTTTTCTTCAGTTTTTATTACATACATTAACCGTATTTTACCAAAAGGTCGCTTTAACCTGTAGACTACATGAAAAATAAAGATATTTATCAGTAGAATAATTGACAGCCTTCTGGATATTTAAAGGCTCATTCCTCAGAAATGCTATCATTTTTATTTCTCAAAAACTTTTGGAGTTTATTTTGTTTTTTTGTTCGTTTTTTGTTTGTTTTGTTTCTTGTTACAGTTTGAAAAAAACATACTCATTTGCTATATACATGAACTTTAGTTATGTTGGCAATTTGGATAATTATAGTGAATACTTATTCAAATTACTACTTTGTTTACATTTTGCTTGCTTAATGACACATTACTGCATGTTTAGCGCTACTTTTCTCAGTTGTCAAACATCTGACATACACTAAGTCTATAATTTAAACATAATTAAATATATGTTTGACAATTCTGAAGAATTAAGAAAATATGGCTTTCTGAGGCATAATGTGCCTTTAATCAAAATTAAAAGGTTAACATACTTTACAGACAGATTTTCCAGCGTCAATAACTTTAATCGTGTACTTTTATAAGTCTTTCTTTTTATGTGTGTGTGTTTATATTTAATTCTTCAAAATGCACGATGTTTGCACAAATGCATCAAACATAATTATCATTTTTAGTGTTAAATGAGCCGTATGCATTCACTTGAATACAGCAAACAAAATCTCTACCTCTGTCCCTATCTTAATTATTTTATTTCTTCTTAAGTATTACCGAAACATTAAAATCTTGATATGCTCCAATGTCGCTACAAGTTATATGTACTTTTGTTGCTACACATGTTTTAAAGGGACTCCACTGAGGTTTTTTTTACATTGACGGGACTAGAAATATTTTTTTTTCAAGATTTGTGTACCATTTTGATGAAGGTTCGGACCAATAATTAATAATAGTTGTGCAATTTTTTTAGATAATTCGGTCAATCCGTTGAATTGCTTTTCACTCAAAAACGAGCTAAGAGTCACACAAAAAACGACGAATTTTAAATTTTGCGTTTTTAGGCTTTTTGACCTCAGTGAAGCTCCTTTAAACTTTTTTAGTTTCACCTTTTTGGTCGGAGGTAAGGATTGTTCGGTCAATTTTTGATGTAGGTACCCCAGAAATGGGATCAGGTCAGCATTCCGCATTTGCATCCTGGTTGCCAGTTTAATCTTCACATATTCTCGCATCAAGTCCATGGTCTGAGGATTGTTCTTCTTGCTCACAAGACGCTCGAAATTCTTCGTATCGAGCACAAAGCACGTGGTGTCAGAAGTACATCGTACTGTTTGCATGTATGTGCTGTAATAACAAATATAGTGCTATAATAACAACTTTAGAGCTGTAATAGCAAAAAAATAGTGCTGTATTAACTAAAATAGTGCTGTATCAACAAGTATATTGATGTATTAACAAAATAGTGCTGTAATAACAAATACAGTGCTGTAGTAACAAAAATAGTGCTGTAATAACAACCATACGGCTGTCATAACAAATATAGTTCTGCAATTACAAATATAGTGATGTAATAATAAATATCGTGCTGTAATAACAAATATAGTGCGGTAATAACAAAAATAGTGCTGTAATAAATAAATAGTGTAAAAATGTGATTAGTAGTTTTCTAAAGGTAACGATTATATTTTTGACCGCATTGTCAAATGTCACTAACATCAATTAGTCAATAACAGTCTTTCGTAGGTAATCGAATGAGCGTCCAATTTATCGGTAACTTAAAACGAAACATAAATGTTATATTTAAAAAAAATTCTTACTCTATATTAACTAACATCTCCACGTCTCCAAGGACCTCTTTGTTTTGTACAGAACATAAACTGATATGATTTTCTTTCATTTTCTTTTCTATGGCGGCATACCCTTGTTCTCGCCTTATCACAAGTTCTTCGGGTTTTGTTTCCCAAACAGAAGGGTCCTCGTACTTTCTTAAAATCGCCGCACGACGAGCTTCCCTATAATAGAAGGAAAAGCATTTTTATGATGAAGAAAATTCATTGCTACAAACACACTTTGACTTCTCTTCATTGACATATTGCCTCAGCAGAAACGATTTTGAATTTTAAATGAATTCAATACATTGGAACTAAACGTATTTAATGAATGAGAGTGCCATTCTTGTAATATAATAACAATTGTAATGAACTTATAATAGAAAAAGCAGTTTGAAAATGTTTAGCTAAAATTGATACTTGAAATTTTTTACACTGTATAACAAAAACAATTTACATAAAAATGATTTTAAATATTATAATGGATGATTTAAAATGTATAATCAATATAAATACTTTATCAAAGATATATATTAAACATTAAAAAGTAAAACTGAGTTTATGATAGATCTAGCGGTAGAAAAAAATATCAAAATGAAAGAAATTGAAAGAAAAATAAATAAAAGAAATAATGTAAATGATTGAAATTAATAGAAAATAAAGCAAATGAAACTGCATATTATGAAAATTGAAAGAAAATATAACAAACAATTCAATTTTTTTAAAGAAAGATATCTAAAATAATGAAAAATGTAACTGTTTAAATTGGTAAAGTAAAAAAAAAGGAAATAGGAAAAAAAATGAAATAAATAAATGAAAATAGAAAACATTACAGTAACAGATCGTATGCATAAGAAACGTTATGTTAAACAAATGTTAAAGATGAAAAGTAAAACATATGTTGTGATTACATAATGACCAAATATGGACATGAAACAAATGTAAACGGTTGAATTCGATCGCTGTCTCAAAGTCATATTTGATCATAAAATTAAAGACAATATACTAAATACAAACCTTTTCCTTCTGGGCACAGCAAATGCAGAGAAAACATAATATTAAAAAGATCAATTGGAATAATTTGAATCTGAACAGTCAAACTAAACGCCAACAATTCTTTGTTTCAATACCATTATCTGAAGTTTTCAATGAATTCATTTAAATAATCCTACTATTCTTTTCATATCTTGCTTTAAATTGAAATCTACTCTGATCTCGCTAAGTATTTACGTTATCACCATAAACACTGTTTTAAAAATAGGAAGCATTAAAATATTGTAAAACCAGCTTAAAGGACCAAATCTTTAAATTTTGCATTTTAAAATTAAAATTTGTATGTTGTATATTGATATGTATTATCTATTTACCTGAGATGTTCAAATTCAATAGCAATTTGATCCATTCCTGCTTCAAAAGGCCATAAATGCGTGTACTGTGAGACGTGTTTCTTAGGCTGAATACTGATATTTGCACTTCCGCTGAAATATTCGAATTTAGATGTCACTTGAAACACTGTACTTCCGAAAAATATTCGTATCTTCAAATACCATTATGTTATAAAGTTAGCACACGATTGGTGCATAAATCCATCACATATTTTGAAGACAATGTTACACGTATTTATACAGCATTAAAATGTGAAAATACTGAATAATACATAAAGCCAAGAATATCAATAATAGCTAAATTTTCAAACGCCATAGTCAACATTGAAGTTTTTCCAATCGAAGAACTACATTAACAGCAAAAGTAAAGAAAATAATATATTACATTCATGTATGTATTTAATTTGACTTTGTACGAGCATTTTTAGCAGTGTTGGGATAAAAATAATCATAACTAAAAGTATAAATGAATGAAATAACACTTAAAAATATAAAAATCATTAACCTGATAACTCACAAAAAATGTTAAAAATACAACTAACCTGATGATAAAATGAAGACCGGTAACAGGATCCCCCTGGCGGATTATATTTGTATCAAAAATATACCGCTCTTTTCTTAGACTCATCTCCAAAAGTTTCTTGAATTTAGTGTTCATGTCTTTAAAGAACGGATGGTCATCAATAAAATCTCTGATCTCAGCATATCTCGCCTCTTGCTCGGCCTGTAAAACAGATATGAAATGCAATGCTTTACAAACATTTTAGATACCATTTACTTATAAAACGTTAAATGTTACGTAAATATCTTAGGTTTTAACAAGTGTCGGATTTATTTATACCAGAATATGAAACAAGTATTTGCAATATATATAAATCGAGTCTTTCTTAGTTCCTGGTTCTGTGAAATAAAAAAAAACAGGTCACAGGAGATTCCTCTTTCATAACGATTTTTTTATTTTGTGAACACATAATTTAATTTGAAATGTTCTTTTAAAAATCTGAATTTAAGATAATTAAATTTTCATTAAGTGTTGTTTTTGCATTTATCAAGTACTGTTATGCAGTTCTTGTTTATTGAGACAAACAAAACAGAAGGAAAATAATCTCTAGCTTTTTAACTGATACATCCCCTTGTGGTTGAGGCCACCGTTTTCCCTGCGTGATCGTTAGAGAATGATTAAATGAGTTCGAATTTGTCGGGTTTATGCATCTCTGAACACGTGCATGTGAGACGGTTTTGACCCCTGGTGTTGCATTGATGTTTGTAACAGCATAGGTTAGTTAAAATCATATTTCCTATGTCGGCGCCATTTGATTTAAATTATGTTGGTGCGCCGTAAAACCAAACAAACAAACAAAAAAACATGACAAACACTACCCACCCTGAGAGATCTGTCAAAGAGATCCTGGTCAATGACAATAAGATCAGTGCTTTCATTTGCTATAATAGAAGCATTTCTGAACGTATCTTTATTTACAAGTGCCACCTCACCAAATGTGCTACCAACACCTTAAATACAAAACAATATAACAATATAACATATAGATAAAGAACTCATCTTGTATCGCAATTGATATTATATGCAGGTAAATACGAGAGAGATCCATTGCTTTGGTTATGCTTGTCCTAAGGTCTATTCTGTAATTAGATATTAATCTTTTTAAACAAAAGGGTTAAAATATTCACAAGAAAACTATAAAAGCAAATATAGTTGCACTTTTGATAATCATCGTGATCAGATCGTTTTTATTGATTGTCATTCTACATTATGATACCTTTTTTTATTTTTAAATAGGTAAAGTATCGAAAAGATGGCGTATTTTTAGTAAAAGTGTTTTCTCCTTATTACTAGGCATATTATTATCTACATGTATATACTTAATGTTCTAACCACTAAAACAGAATAATAATTGATTTGAAAGTTACCTTGCAAAATTAATGACAACATTCGTCCACTAATTCATGATATATTTCTATAAATATTGCAGTATATAATAAGGGGAAAAACAAAATGTGCAAATATACCATAGTCAGCTATGAATTTTCCATATTTGTTCCTATCCATTGGGGTGAGCAGTTGTATAGGTTTCTTTCTTGTTGGACCATCCCCGTCTTCTTCCCCTTCGTCTTCTTCCTCGTGACCATCTTCAGTTTTTGTCGCTTCAGTGTTCTCACTTGCGTCCCCTTCAGAAGGTTTTTCCATACCGCTTAGCACGGACGCCTCAGATTCTGGTATCTGAGGCGGCTTCTTCCTTCGCTTCTTCTTTGCCGATGTCCTCGAGAGAGCATCCTCGCTTGCTGTTCCCTCTCCGGTCATCCTAGGGTCAATATAGATTGCAGCTGATCCTCTCAAAATCACGTAGAAACTGTCACAATAAACGGAATTAATTTAAATCTTTATCCTGGACTATTTATACAAAAAAATTGTCACACTCTCAAACTATTAAACCACTTAATCAGTTAATTATATATATTTTTCACACCTTCTCTTTTGTTTGTGACAGGTCTATATTTTTCGGATAGACCTGTTTAAACAAAAGAAAGTACGTTATGACGTCTATCTTTTGCACGTGCACAGGTCTGATCTTGTCAGATAGACCCGGCCCTGCCTGTCGACAGACAAAGAAAACGATATTTTAAGATTTATTTAATAGCGACATTTTTTGAAGTAATAATAATCTAAGCGGTTCTTCTGGCATTAATTAAGTTCACAATATGACAAAAGTGAACGTTTCAAGTTCATTTCTATGAAACTATAACAGTTATTATAGCTTACTCATTACTATTTTAAATAACAATATCCATAACTTTAGCTACACTTATCATGTAAGAATATATACAAATATAATGAAATCAAACATTAGAGCGTATTGTCAATTATCCATTTATAAAATACATATTTATTGGAAAATCCCTGAAACCAAACAATTCTGTTGTAAACAAAAGAGAACATGAAGTCAAAGTAGCCTGTTTTGTTTTAGATGAATAGATTTATGAATGGCAGTTTTTTAATGCAAGTTCCAAGATCACACATCACAAAAAGCTAGCATCCAAGAGAAAGAAAATCCCAAAGTATGGAATTTGAATTATAGATGTTTGTCAATAACGGAAAAGTGAAAATTCTTTGATCAAATCTTTAACGTTCTTGTGAGAAAAGTTGTTTAAATCGATTGGTTTGCATAGAAGATTGTGAAAGTCTTGTTTCTTCATAAATATATTACTATAGTATTGAGTATTAAATTATTTATAGAAGTTTTCTTTGTTGATTCGTCCTTTGAATTTGAAATGTTTCCTGTCATATTGAAATATGTTTTGAATAAGATATGTTAGCTCACATAAGGAAAGCCGGTTGTCATATTTTGCTTTATTCACACACCCTGGCAAAGTTATATTGTTATTTATGATGGCTGATTTGAGCCATGTCGTATTTAAGTTTCGCGGGGCGCCAGGTAAACTCGAAAATACAACAAAACGTATTCCCAACGGAGCGAAAGTACGACTTAATGTTGACTTTGTCGTATTTTCATGTTTTCGTCTGTCGCCCCCAGGAGCGACAGTACGATTAAATGTTGATTGTATTTTTGTGTTTTCGTCCGGCGTACAGCGAAGCGAAAATACGACGTGGCACAAATTAGCCACCATAGCAATCAAATATGTCTGTGAAACAGTTCAAATCAGCAATACATTAAAAAATAAATTAAGGAAATACAACTATGTTCGGTTTGAAAACATTTTTACACCTACACCAAACAGTTTTGAAAATAAATTTAAACATCGTATTATCTGATAAAATGTTTACAACTCATTTCTAAGGAAAGATATTTTAAGTGCAATTCTCAATAACGCTTTTAGAGACTTTTTGAATTTCTTTTATAATAAATGCGCATTTAGTATTTAAGAAATTTCCACGTTGTTCCCTGAATAGAAAATAATAAAAAGTCGTTAGAAACAAAATGCATGTAAGTATGTTAGATGTGCAATAAGGAAAACTTTCGTCTTTTTAAATCAATTTATATTAGTATTTATCAAAAAAAAAAACACTCAAACATTGTTAAACAATTGCAAGTTGCCGGGTTCTCTGTTAAAATAAGAACTAGATTTAGTCTGCACATCAATAAAAAGTCAACAAAATACATCCTGATTGGTATTCGTAACATTGTTACTTACCAGAATTCTTCAAAGTAACTGAAGGCATATCATAAATCATGTATGTAAATTTAAAATTAATTGTCATATAAATTTTAAATTAATTTTTACGTAAATTTTAAATTAATTGTCATGAAGTGCATCGATCAAATATATTGTGATTAATAGTTCAGGCTTACAGGTGCGTGGTATCAAAAGATAGATCCTTGTCAAATTAAAATGAAAAACTATTGTATACTGCACAATGCTTTGATATAACACACGCTCGATTTTTTTGTATGCGGTGCAGCGTAAAATACGTGACAGGAAATGCATGCACGTATATCATGTATATTGCACGTGTACCAGTTACGACACATAATGAATTATTTCAGTCGGAAATTTTAAATATACATACCTTACAAGTAAATCATATAGCTTTCAAAAGTGCAAATAAAAGAATATTAACATGGGTTGAGAAGCTATTATAACGCAATCTATTCTTATAAATGCCTTTGATATAAAACTTCATGTTGTTCGTATAGATTCGTTTCCATTGTATTACTGACATAAGATTATATTTTTGGAAAAGAGATGAAATATAATTAATTGTATACGTTTGTTACTCTGTATTCAGAGTCATTAAACTGCTCGATATCTTGTGTTTTCCTATTTTAAAAAAAAACAGTTGTGCGAACTGATAAGATATGTATATTACTTTGTCACCACTTATTTTCATATTGTGGAATAAAGAACAAAACTAAATTAAAAACTGAAAAATAAAGTAACAAAAAATTATAAAAGAAAACAAAACAAAACAGCGCGCACCTGTCTCCTCTTTCGCCTTGTTTGATAATGACGTCATCTTCTTGGACGCTGAGAAACGTACAATTCTTCACAATATCTAAAAGAACACCTGAAAAAGAAATAGATTTACTAAAATGAATATCCTATTTTTTAGAATATACAAGTTTCTGGAAAAACAAGACCTTATTCTATGCATATTAATTAATGTAAAAACTTCTCATTTTCATAACTCATATCCGATGTTATTTTGTGTGATCTATTCGTATGTCTGTGCAAAAATAACAAACACGACAGTGTTAAAATAAAAGGAAACCCACGTTTTGGCATTTAGTTTCACATGTGGTTTATACAGAATTTATTCTAGTTTGATTGTGTAGGAAGGTATAAGCTTATAGTCATATAATAGAATCCGCTCAAGGAAACAACGACTTGCCCCTGACAGGATTTGAACCAATGACCGATCTTTAGATTAATATTCCGACGCGTTAACCACTCGGCCATGCCATGTACATATATTGTGTTATAGTGAAAAATATTATTTCCTTATAAGCCAAAGCATCAAGTTACCCCAACATTGAAAAAGAGGATAAAAATATCTGAAAGGTCATAAATTTGATTTGAATCTAACAAAAAAAAACAACACCCCTTCTTTTTATTTTTAAAATACTGATTGATAAATCTGTGCATCACAATGTTTACGTATTCGACCTTTTCGTATATCTGTGCAAAAGCATAAAATCATTTTCAAGTTTTATCTCTTTTTAAAGTTAAATTTGTTTTAATTTTATCTTTCAAGTATTTTAGAGGGTTTCGCACTACATTTATTTTAAAGTTGTAAACATATTATGTTGAAATTAAATAAACCTTTTCACTTTCAATATTTAAAAAGGATTAAAGTATTTTTTCGCATAAAGACGAAAACTTCATATCGGTACAATATATAAAAACACCTGCTATAAAATTCAGTATATCTTTAATGTTTAGATATTAAATATTCGCACGACATCGGTAGTAAATGCGGTTAACTTCTGATTCAGTCGTAAGTGCTTTGCAAACAAGCCCATCGACTTAAGTTTTAAATCAATTCAAATGGTAAAGTTTAGAATGACAAATTATAAACTTTCAAAATAAACATCAAAACACTCCAAAAACGCCCTTAGCTTCTTGATTTTGTACACCGTTTAATCATTTTTAAAGCCACACCATTAAAAATATTCACTCATTGGAATTTCTTTTAATTTATACTTTGATAAAAATACAATAAAGTTTTTCATTTAAAATGTTGTTTTAGGCCGTCAAATAGAAAAAGAAAACCTTATAAAGAAAGATTTCTGTATTTCAGAAGTATTAGAAAATGTCGTTTTGTTTTTTCTACACTGATAGTTTATCTAAAGTCCGATGAAGCCATTTTTGTGATAAAGGTCTGTTTAAAGGCATATTATGCCTCTGAAATTCATATTTTATAAATTCTTTAGAAATGTCAAACATGTGTTAAATAATGTTTTATTAATACATGTATATCTAGAGCATGTTAGGATGTTTGACAGCTGAAGAAAGTAGTGCTAAATTTGCTGAAATGAGTCTTAAAGGAAGCAAAATGTAAACTTCCATACAAAAAACTAATTCATTATAATAACAAAGCAAATATAATTAATCTATAAGGCAAATGAGTATCTTTTTATAAAACTGTAACAAGATACTAAAAATATTTTTTGAGAAATAAAAATGATAGCATTTCTGAGGCATAATGGGCCTTTAATGATAAATTAACTTTCTTTGTCCTAAACAGTATCAAAAAATTACTAGATAATTATTATTCCCAATCATTCCTTGTTAATAACACATTATTGACATCATTTTTTATTTGTTTAGTACATCTTTAAAAAAAGAAAAAGAAAAAAAGAGAGAAAAAACATCACATTTTATAAAATCTATTAAGTTTCCAATACTTTTCTGTTGGAACGAACATTAAACAAAATAAATCTTCTAGTATGTCTAAATAACTGTTAACCCATTGACTTAATGGTGGGAATTATCAATAAATATCCGCCAAGCACGTGCTTTGAACTGTTCGATCCACAAATATCGTACAATAACAATCAATTAGGTCTCATTAGCCCAATACATACACATATTAATGTATTAAAAAGCGTTTAATCCTAAAAAATTGAATAAACTCAAAAGCCTTTTTTTCCTATTAGTTACATTTTTAAGTGTTTGGTGACTGAATGAAAATTTGAAAAATAAATAAGGCAATTGTTCGACAAATGGAAAATTACTTCACTAGTTTTATCCTAAAATTGAATAAACTCAAAAGCTTGCTATCCTATTAGTTACATTTTTAAGTGTTTGGTGATTGAAAATGGAAATATAAAAACATAGATGAAGCAATTGTTCGACAAATGGAAAATTACTTTAATTACACTATAATAATTGAACAATTATATATTTTAGTATAATTATTGTAAAGAGATTTTGTAATTCAAAAGTTACTATACTTAAACACCGTTTTTACTGAATAATATCAATATATCAATCAAAACATATTATTGGATGGATTATGATCTTTCAAAATATATATAATAAATGTTTACTTTATCTGAATTATTGATACTAAGAGGTTTTAAGTTTTTCCCTGAGCTCTAGGTTTGCTTTATAATAATGATGAATGCAGTCACGCGACAATATGGATCTATCTTCTATATAGACGAATAAAATTTTATTGTATCATAGTTTGGGGACCTTTCTAAAGACATTAATGTGTCAGTTAAATCGTATACCCTTACATGCACAATGAGTCAACTGCAGTGCAGGTATTAGTTACCCGCACTCCAGAGTACATATCTATTGATTGGCTCATTTGTTTTCTGGGGTTAACTTATTGTGACGACAGGGAAAGGGATAACCATAAAAAGTCAGTTTTGAAGTCTTCAGGCCTAGACATTTTATTTCTCGTCTTATCCTTTACCATGTTTGATATAAGTGAGGCAACCACACATTCTTTTTTTTACATTATAAGTGTTATGTACATTAGTATACTTTGAAGAAGTCTAAAGATTAAACCAATTTCTGTTTCAAAGCTTGGCAGCAATATTTGTCTAAATATCTTAACAATCATTACCGTCAATGGTATGGCTTCTTAAACAAATATATGGCTTTTTTCACTATAGTGTAAGTATCTGTGATTTTGTTGGGTGGTATTCCCATTAATTGTCGACCGCCACACTTCGCCACTAATCTAAATTTTATTACCTCTATTTACGTCAGTTGAATAAAGTTTCTATTGTAAAGCTATTTATCTTGAAAGGTGTCTCCCTGAACAAGTAAAACCGAAATAAAATCTTTCCCGATGATAGCCATACTATGATGTATATAAACATAAAAGGAATCCTTCATAAAAAAGATATATGTTTGCTTGGATTGTCATAGTGTCAATAATACGCTTCGATTTTTGTCCTTTACAAAATACAAACTACAATTAATCGAGTATCAAATGAATGAATATCATCTTAAAATAGGTTCTTTTCCAATCTTTGTACTCTAATCGGCACTAATATTAATAATTAGTAAAAAAGTATTGTGCACATTGTAAATGGTATTCTAAATGCGTGTATCTTATTGCAATAATTCAAAAGAGTAGTTTAAGATTTTAGAACAAACTCGATATGTTGGCAAACGAGTATGTCAGAATTAAATCTATTTAAGGCATAAATATTGCTTATTAATTATTTAAACGCTTTTTGACTTTGTCAACCAATTAAATTTATAAATTGTTAAAAATAACGTAGTTGAAATATCTAATGAATGAAATGCTTGCTTAATTTTGCTTGCCATATTAGCTATTATAAACGTGATAAAGACATTTTGTCCAAAGTAATTTTGCGTCTCGTAATCTAGAAAGTTGTTTTCTTTTTACATGCTTATAGATTTCTGTTGAGCAATAAGCCTAAAGTAATGTGGTTATTTAAGGTTTTAGTTTATACTAACAACAATAGACAACATTTTTCGATGAGATTGTTTTGTAATATTATAAAGGTCAAGTTTTACATATTTCTAATTAAAACATACATAACATATGTCTAACATTTTGTTTGCACAATTAAGATATAACTTTATTTAACTAAATTATAAAGAAAATATAATGGTGATTTTATAATCGACCAAAATATAACATTAATTTCTAGGAAGAGATTAATCTAAAGTTGTTATAACTTATTGCCCAACCAATTTGCCTTTTTTGTTATATAATTATCATTTGTATACATGTAATATTTTACATTGCATATGCAGCGAATAAAATATGTTTAAACTAGATCAAAATATAAACCATAATACAACATCTACAATAACAAAAATATAGATATGTCAGCAAAAATATATAAGAAGATGTACCTGATCTACTAATATTAACTCTTCCAATTCACACAAAGAAATTGCTAGCACAATAAACCAACTATACTATCTAGTATAAAAACTCCTATAACCTGATTTCACTAATTCCATCAAACAAAACCTTGCTAACGTTACTATCGGATCCATACAAATTATTGGCTGTTCCCAAACACTAAACCCTAAGCAAACAGAACGCTTTTAACTGCAATTCAAGTCATTTTTCAATATCCCTTACATCATTAAGCTATTCAGCTTTATTGGTCTCATGTTCCATATAATTACAGCGATTTTTGTAGATAGAATAAATGCATGATAGAAAGGGAATTGCTGCCGATGTCAAGATTGTTGAAGAAGTTTTAAACAAATTTATTTAAAAGTAAAAGAAAGGATGAATTAGATATATCTAGTGAATGATAATTATTTTACAGTGATGCACTTTGGGTGTTTGTAAAATAACCAATTAAAAGTGACATAATGCTCATTTTTTTACAGTGTGAAGTTGAGCTCAATTTGGCTACATATTGACAATATATATAAAAATTATATAGATTTCCTACAGATGCTTTGTAAATTCTCATTGTTGTTTAAAAATTGAGGTATCATCTTTAAGGCGGTGCTAGGTGGCTTAAGGGGTAATTGCATTTACCACTGTCAACCGTTAAACCTAGTCTGAAACAGTATCAATTTTTGCCGTTTAGGGGTATTCTTTAAGGGTTC